GTACAGTTAAACAGGGCAATCAGCCTAGGATCTAGGTGGAGAAACACACAGGGGCCTCCAAAGTATGCACCATATGGAAAGGCAAAGGTCAGGCTGTGGCTATTCCTTCTTTGCTGATAAAACACCTCCAAGCCTCATCATGACTCCTGGCTGACTACACACAGGGCTCTGTCTTCCTTACATGGAAGACAGCCAAGGCTAAAATCAAGGGGCCTTGTATGTAAAGTGTCTAAGCGTGAGCTGTTTCTGACTGCCAGAAGCAATCCCCTCCCCACAGTCAGTTTCAATGCTACAGTGTCAGTGGCCATGAAGAGCTCAGCTGGTAAAGGAACCCCCCAGAATCAAGAGAATCTGGAATTGGATGGGGCATTAGAAGCTATCCAAGGGCTGCTTTTTCTGCCTTATGTCTGGGTGGGAGTCTTTCAGGCCCTTCCTGACCACCATTCTAGTTCTGAACCCAGGGTCAAGCATGGAGCAGTCTGACCTCAAAAACAAATGGCAGGTTAATGCCTGCTTCCCTGGAACCTATATCCAAGACTCAGCCATCAGTTTTGTTCACTATGCAGGAGACTTAAGAAAAGGTTCCAGTTTTCAAAGAATTGATCATATAGCTGTGGGGACATTTCACATGCCCCAGAGCATGGGACACAAAAGTTCACCCACTCAGACTGTGGCAGAGCCTGGAACAAGGTATCACTGAAACGAAGACAGATTCAGCAATACCTAATGAACGTCTGGGGTTCTCAGTCTGGGACTCTACGGATGAAAGCTTAGAGCCCTTGGTAACAGCCTCAGAAATGAACCAGCTATCTTGAAAAACCTGGTCATATGCATCATTGACATTCATATCAATACTATACCCAAGATTAAGCAACAAAAATAAGAACAAATTCTATGGTTAACCCTCACATAGCATGGTGCTGGGCAATGCAAAGGAACCTGGCTTGGGGCTATGTATCAGAGATGTATATATTTGCTCTGAGGTTTGGGGCAACTCATCACCTCGGTGTGTATACCCTTCACTGTAAAGGAGATATATGACACCCAAAAACGAGGGACCAGAAGTAAAAACTGCCGTGCCTATTCTAGAGTTCTCAAACGAAAACCAAGACAGAATCACTCCAGTGTTTGGCTTTGAAAAAGTAGATGAAGCTTTGAACGCCAGGAACTTCTGAAATGTTGGTGCCACTGTGCATGAACTTAGGGTCATGCCAGTTTTGCCTTCTATAGAATATTAATGGTAAAGGGCTGGAAGAAACCCTAGACAATCTTTTGGGTCACAACTACGTAAACCTCCGTTATTTGTAAGCTACCTGATCTTGCTGGGTAGGCAGCTGACTAGTAAGTAAACTTAGAATCCCTGCGTCTAGGGCTGAGCTTGGAGTCAAATCTCCTATCTAGAGTCGCACCGCAGAAAGAATGCTGGAGGCTTCCGGAGACTCTGAAGGTGGTGACCTTCACTTCTGACCATTTTTGTGCATTTCATGTAACCTGTTGGGGCAATGGCACAGTCGCGGTAGGCGCTCAAACTTTGCCCAAGGTCGTGCTCCATCCTTGTTCAGGTACAACACAGTTAAAAATCAGAGCTGTTTTGGAGTAAGCGCAACGGGTACCGCACATGACAGTCAGGTGCTACGTAAGCACCTGTGTACCCGCGACCGGCAAGGCTGCATGGGCATGGATAAGGACCTGGGAAGCAGAGAGGAAGGGGCAGGGCCCCGGGAGTCGCGGGGGCCCGGGTGGGGCCTTACCCGGACGTGCGGCCCCTCCACCAGCTTCAGGGCCTGCGCCTCCAGCAGGTCGGCGCGCAGCTGCACCAGGAAGCGCACGCCGCCGTCCAGTTTGCTGATGTGATGGAAGAGGCCGCGGTAGCGCGGCACGAGCGCATAGCGTAGCCGGTCCTCTGCCTGCAGCAGCACCGCCACCTCGCGCGACTGCTGGCGCAGCTGCAGCACTCCGGCGCTCTGCTCGGCCACCTGGCCATGGTCCACGCCGAAGCCTTGCGCTAAGCGGCCGAGCAGCTCGGCGCGCTGGGCCGTCTCGGCCAAGCCGCCGTAGAAGCTAACGAAGTCGGCGCACTGCCCCTCGGCGGGTGCCGGCGTCTTCTCGCGCAGCTCATAGGCCGGCGTGGGTGGCACGGCTCGCCGCAGCAGCTCGTCCATGGCGCCAGCCGTGAGCCCGCTGCACAGCCTAGGCGCCCGAGGCCCCGGCAGCCGAGGCGGGTACCGGGGTGGGAACAGGCGCCGAGCCTTGAGACCTGGCCCAAGGGCTCTCATGATAGCTCGCAACAGCTGCTGACAGCGATGCCGTCCGACCCGTCCTCACTTCCTGTTCCGGCTCCGGTGTCTTGCCGGTCCTATTGGTCGAGGCGGAACGACGGACGGGGTATCGGCCAATCAGGAGGTGGATCTGTGGGGGCGGGACGAAGGAGATTCCCTCAGGCTGGATGCCAAGTGCAGCTAAAGGTCCCCGGGCTGGGATTAGCCTCAGGGCACCTGACTCGCCAACCCCCTCCACACACCTCTGGCTTGCATCCTGACATTTGTCCTAAGAGTCACCCTCTCAGTCCCTTGCCTCTTTTCCCCCACTACGCACGCGCTTCTCTTAATCTGATGCTTGTCATCTCAGCTCCTATAGGGACCATGCTGTGCACGCAGATTCCTGGGCTATTGTTCTGATCCAGTGTGGGCAAGGAGCTGAGGAATTTGAGATTGCATGCTGAACAAGGATTCCTAGGGCTTGGGATAGCTCAGTTGGTAAAGCTCTGGACTTGAGTTCATGTCTAGAACCCGTGGGAAAACGATTTAACTCCAGTATTGGAGAGGTGGAGACAGGAGGATTCCTGGTGGTGTCTGGCCTGCCAATCCAGTTTACATCTGCCTGCATCTTCCTTTGATCTTACAGCACCCCAGGCTGGCCTGTGCATATGAGGACCTGCTGTTTTGGAAGTTTGCCATCAGGGATAGGTTAGCCCGGAAAGGCCTATCAGAGGAGATGACATTTATGGAGATCAGAAGCTGGTTACAGGAGAGGAACAAAGAGAGCTATCCAGCCTATTCTTCTAGCTCCAATACATGACTCATAACTCCTGCCCTGCCCTCCACTGCCATATCCAAATGTCACCAATTTCTAGTTCTTTCTGGCCCACTGCTCCTGCGGCTCTTGTCACATCTCACGCAGCACTTTTTGGCACCCAGGCTTGCTCCCTGAAGCTCACTACCTGCTCCACCTGCTGAGTGTGTGTTTTTTCCCCCTTATCCATTTATGCACAATTGCTGTTCACTTGCTCAACAACCAGTCACTATAGTCTAATATGCAGAGCTGGCTTCTATGTTCTCACTGTATCCTGCCCATCTTCTGTCTCTCCTTGCATCCTGATGCCTCATAGAGAATTTGACTGTCCGTTTTGAAAAATAGGGAGGGGGATGAGTCTAGAATGGGAAGGTGGGGTGGACAAGTGGACTTCAAAGATGAGGCTTAGACCTGAGGAGGTGGATGCAGAAGGGTCTCTGTGTGTCCTTGGGACAGGACCCCTAAAAGATCTGTGGATCCTAGAAAGTGAATCCTTCTCTTCCTTAGTCACAGTAGTTAGTAACTTATGCCCCCCCCCCAGCAGACTTGAAGAGACAGGTATACAAAGTAGTTGAGCACTTGCCATACTTACACACACAAACCAGTCACTTTAGCATGTGCTAGATGTGTGCCTTCTACAGTTCTTGCACATTTAATGTCACAATAACTGTATACAATGAGTAATGTTATCCCCAGGTGATGGAAGTGGAGCAGAAGCCCAGAGAGACACAGGGAAGGACTTTCATGAATGCTCCCAGCTGGTCGATGGTAGTCAGAATCCCTAGCCTGCACTGAGACTGGGCTGGGTATGTTAGGGGGACTTGAACATAGGCTCACCTCCCTCCAGTCTATGCTTCTTCCACTCGGGGCTTCTCATGCTGAAATGAGCATTTGTTTGTATAGTGAGACTTGGGTTATTTTTGTGCTGCAATGCTGAGGGAAACACAAAGAGGTGTAACAGACACCATATACACCATCAGGATAGTTCATGCTTTAATTCCCACCTTTGCTACATCAGCCAGTGGATAAAGTGGAGACCTGATGGAGTCAGCTGACTTACCAAGGCAAATGTGTGAATGAGAGACAAAGCTTACATTTGACCCTTGTCCTGTGACTCTAGAGATCTTTATTCTACTCTCAGAAGTGAGGCTTCAACAGCTTTCCTCCTAGGAGCCACAGGGGAATATCTTCCTTATTCCCCAGCTGGGTACCAATGATGATGAATTTAGGAAGATGCTGGGAAAGGATATTCAACAGACTGATGGAGCTAGCCAGCCCTGGTGGTACAAGCCTGAGATCCAAGCTATTTGAGCGACAGAGGCAGGAAATAATTGGTTCAACTCCTGCTTGGGCTACAGAAGGAGTTCAAGACCAGCTTAGGAAATTTAGCAAGACCCTGTCTCAAAATAGCAAGCTAAAAGAAGGTAGGGGATGTAGCTCAGTGGTAAAGCACCTGCCAAGAGTATGTGAGTGTGTGAGGCTCTGGGTTCAATCTCCAGTACAGGAATAAAACAAAACAAAATGATGAAGTGCAGTAATCAAGACTGAGTGAGCAGTTGCAAGATGTACTTGAGGCCCAGCGATGTGTGGTATTTAGTGTTGTAACAGTGGATACGGTATTGAGAAATACCTTAAGTAAACCGGCTGGGTTTGCTGAAGTGAGCCCAGAGGCCAGAAGAAGGTGCCAGATCCTCTGGAGCTAGAGTTACAGGTGGTTAAACTTGGGTCCTCCACAAGCAAGTACTGTTATTATTTATTTATTTTTGTATTTATCATGGGTAAGAGAGGAGGCTTATAGCAGGTGGATAGGGATTTGTTAAAAAGTTATGATCTGAGGGCCAAAAGTAAATGAACTGGGTCACACATGCGTTCCTCTCATGGCTATTTATTCTTCAAAAAAAGTTCTCAAAAGTTCTCTCTAGCTCTTCGACATCTTCCCTCGGGCCAGGCGGCAGCAGTCACCATGAAGGTCGAGCTGTGCAGTTTCAGCGGGTATAAGATCTACCCGGGACACGGGCGGCGCTACGCCAGGACCGATGGGAAGATTTTCCAGTTTCTTAATGCAAAATGCGAGTCCGCATTCCTTTCCAAAAGGAATCCTCAGCAGATAAATTGGACTGTCCTCTATAGAAGAAAACACAAGAAAGGACAGTCAGAAGAAATTCAGAAGAAAAGAACTCATCGAGCAGTCAAATTCCAGCATGCCATCACGGGTGTATCCCTTGCTGATATCATGGCCAAGAGGAATCAGAAACCTGAAGTCGGGAAAGCCCAGCAAGAGCAGGCTATCCGGGCCGCCAAGGAAGCAAAAAAGGCTAAGCAGGCATCCAAGAAGACAGCAATGGCTTCAAAACAGCACCTAAACAAAAAATTGTGAAGCCTGTGAAGGTCTCCGCTCCCCGAGTTGGTGGAAAACGATTGGAGTTTCGAATAAAGATCTAACTATGCAAAAAAAAAAAAAAAAAAAAGTTCTCTCTAAACAGCTCTCTTTAAGATTTCTCTCTAAAAGCTCTTCTTAAAATTCTCTCTAGAAGTTTTCCTTAAAAATTCCTAAGATTCTTTCTAAGAATTCTCTAAAAGTTCCTCCTAAAATGTCTCTAAAATTTCCTTCTAAAAATCTTCAAAAATTCCTCCTAACCCACAAGACTTCTGGTGTTTATACCCACAGGCACATTTAACAACAACTCTCTGACAACAGGGCATGCATATCTCTCAGGGCCAAGAAGGCTGGTGGGGTCTTGAGAAAAGCAGGTGCCTGACATCTCCCCCTGGATGTGACTGCAAAAAGTCCTAGCAAACTTAATTCTCAGAGGGACTTGACTTGCAACAAATGCTGATAACTGATCAAAGGGGACTTCTCAGTGCTATATCAAAGAGAAAAACTAAGGCTATGTAGTGTGAGATCTGGAGGCTGCAGCTCTTACTGCTGATACCCCAGGGAGAAGTAATTCCTTTCTCTGGGTCTATTTGAGAACACAAGGCACCCAGTATATATTCTATATACAGTCAGATTCATAGTAACAAGTATTCTGGAGCTGATACCTAGAATATTAATTGCTACTTCTGTAATAAATGGTAAAGGCTCGCAGCATTTTTGTTTTATTTTTGTTTTGTTTTGACATCCCTACCGGTTTCCCCTCTCTCCTCTCCTCCCAGTCCCTCCCCACCCCTCATCCATTCCTCTTTCTCTGTTTCTCTTCAGAAAAGGGCAGGCCTCCCATGGATATCAACCAGCTCAGGTCTCTCAAGTTGCAGTGAGACTAGGCACCTCCTCTCTTATTAAGGCTGGACAAGGCAACCCAGTAGGAGGAAAGGGTCCCAAAAACAACAGAGTCGGAGATAGTCCTGCTCCCACTTTTAAGACTCCTATAAGAAGACCAAGCTATGCAATTGTAACATACGGAGAGAACCTAGGTCAGTCCCATGCAGGGTCTCTGGCAGCTATGCTGAGCCATCTCTCCAGCCTCTGCCTTTTGCATCTTAGTAACTACAGACTCAACTGTTTCTGGCAGAAGAGGAACTAAGATGATGTATGTCGTAAGACTTTTCTCATCAGTAATGTGTCCTTCCATTCACAGAACATACAATCACTAGTGACTTGCAGAAGCAGCAATCAGTGCATCAGAAAAGCAGCCTCCCTCCCCAGGCTTTTGTATGTAGACCTTGAACTAGGAACACCGAAGCAAGATGGTCTCTGCTAGTGCTACCCTGCCTCCTCTTTGGTTTTCTAGCTTTCCAAATACATCATTTTCCTACTTGTCATTGAGTCATTGACTTCTGGGGGGAGCAGTAAAGGAGGGTTTGTTACTAGCAATAGGAAATGGAATTCAATTTTGCTGTCAATGTTGCCTGAGGATAGCTTTCAGCCTTGGCAATCCTCAACATTCACCACAGAAAAGAATTTCAGACCCGGTCAAAGCAGTTAGCAAGTTTATTGATGAGGCAGAGAGGCAAAGAACACATGAGGAGAGCCTTCTTAGTGCTGGACTAGGAACATGTGAAGGGAACCTTCTCAATGCACAACTAGAAGCACCCGAGGAGAGCCCTTTCCTCTCAATATCCGACTAGGATCATGTGAGGAGACCCCTCTCAATGCATGACTAGGAGCAAGTGAGGAGACCCCTCTCAATGCATGACTAGGAGCATGTGAGGAGAACCTTCTCAGTGCATGACTAGGAGCAAGTGAGGAGAACCTTCTCAGTGCATGACTAGGAGCATGTGAGGAGAACCTTCTCAATGCACCTGATGGCCTCAGTTGTAGTTCTATGACTCAATTCTATGACTTTAGATGTCAGGGAAGCTATGAGCAGGTGCAATCTTGTTTCTTATCCACGGAGTTATGTCCTTGAAGATGAGCTTCTATGTATAGGATGCAAGCTTGCTGCTAGAGAGGAGAGCATGAGAGAGAGAGAAAACACCTATTCCAGAATTCTTGCTTACACAGTGGTCGTGAGGAAACTAGGTTGAAGGCCTGGGACATTGGCCATCAGAGCAATCTTATGTGAAGTTTCCCAGAAATGGGAGAAGGGGCTGTAGTTCTTTTTACAGATGGTCTGGTCAGTTATGTTGAAATTCCTGGGTATGAACCAGTGAGGGACAGAAATAATAACCAAGAGTGGGTGGGGCTTTCCCTTCCCACAGCCACTCTGTTCCTAAGTGGCTATCTCTACTCAGGTTCATGGTTACAGAAGCCTTGCATGTTACTGGGGGGAAGAAATTGTGTCTCTTGGGGAAAAGGGCACAGTTGACTGCCAACCTTGGACTGTGCACACTAAAATCAGATGCTTGAAGCCTTCGGTGGCTTAAAATGAAATAAAAATGGGTTACTGCCTCCAAGTGAGAAACACACAATCCTGCAGGCCTTGCTGGAGGTGGCTGATACATGCTGGGCCACACTGATCTGGTGTCCTGTGCCGCCACCAGGGCCCTGTCTGGGTCTGTGGTTCTGCTGCAGCTGGGGTCTGTAATGATGTCTGTGGTCAGTGTTAGTACTGGGATAAGGGGATCATAGGACCCACACATGTGGGAAACCTGAGGGCTGCTCTCAGCCAGCCTTGCCCTTCACTGGCCCTGATATGGATGGCCCTGCCCCTGCCCCTGGCTGGAAACTACGGCAGGAGAGCTGACCCTGTCTCTCAGGGAAGAACTGCCCCCCCCCAACACACACTTGGGAAAGATGGCTCTACTCTTCACCACGGGTGTGCAGCTCACCCGGACAGCACGCTAGAGCTGGGTCTGAGGGTGTGAGAGCAGGAGAACTGACTCTGCCCACCTTCATCTGCCATGTGGTGGCATTGGTGAGAGGAAGATGCCCTCTATCACTCACCCATTGTCACCTGTGAGCAGCAGGTGAGAGAGCCGGCCCCTGGGGTCACGAGAATGGGAGAGCTAGTCCTGCCCCTCACCAACTGCAGCACACAGGAGAGCAGACCATGCAGCCTGCTGGACAGCACACAAGAGCTGACCCTGTTGTGCGGGGCGGGGTGCAGGTGAGCCAGCCCCAGATGTCATGAGAGCAGCAGAGCGGACCCCCTTCCCCTTCTGCCATGTGGTGTCTCCCACCCTTGCTACCTGTGTCAGGTGAGAGAGCTGGCCCTGCCCCTCATCAGCTGCAGTACACAGAAGAGCAGGCCCTACACATGAATAGAGCTGACCCTGTCTGTTGTCAGGGGCATAGGTGAGCAGCCCTGGGGGCACGAGACCCCCTCCCCCACACATGTCATCCTAGTCCCCCTACAGCAATTCGTCTTGCATCTCCCCTGGGCAAAACAGCAGAATTGGCCCTGGTGGTGGGAGTGTGATAGAGATTGAGAGAGATGGATCTGAGAACTGAGAACAGAACTGGCCCCACCCCTTGCTGCAGGCAGTGTGGGGGTGGGTGGGGGGTGGGTGTGGATGGGGGGTGGGGGGGTGTAGTGATGATGAGGGAGAGCTGGCGGGCTGACCAACCCAGCTACCACCCAGGCCCAGAACCAGGGCGAAGAGTTAGCCCACCACAACACCCACCGTATCATGTAAAGGGGCTGAACCTCCAGATCCAACTGCAGGGTCTCTACCACACAGGACAAGGATGTCTAAGAGGAACCCTAGAAAGAGCCTGCTATCGATAGTGTAGCAGAAGTGAGGGGACAGGGAGATGAGTGGGCTTGGGATGCATGATGTGAGATCTACAAAGAATCAGTGAAAGTTAAAAAAAAAGAAAAAGAAAAAAGAATGTAACAAGCCGGACAGTGGTGGCAATTTCTATTGCCTTTGGTCCTAGCACTCAAGAGGCAGAGGCAGGCAGACCTCTGAGTTTGAGGCAAGCCTGGCCTACATACAGAGTGAGTTCTCCAGGACAGCCAGGGCTACACAGAGAAACCCTGTCCCCATTGGAAAACCACTGGGTATATAATACCATTTATTGTTAAAACACAATTTTCAGCATCCATGACATATCTAGAACTGATTTCCCTAGTACATGAAAGCTGATAGGCCTAAGGGACAACAGGAAAACGGGAAAGATGACTGGAACATTCTCAGAAGAAGAAATAAGAATGGTGCTTAAAAATGGAAGACCTGGGCTGGCAAGAGGGCTCAGCAGGTAAAAGCAGTTTTTGCCAACCTGACAACCAGAGTTTGAACTCCTGGTCCTGAGGGGAAGGAGAAAGAAAGCTCCTGCAAGTTGTCCTCTGGCCTCCACATGTGTGCCATGGCTCACACACATGCACATTCAACTTCTGCACAGACAGACACACTAAGTAAATAAAGTGATAAAAAGGAAAAATGCTAAAAGGGCTTATATATAAGAAAATGCAAATGAAGACTCAGGTGGGCTACCCATTTTATGTGTTTGAGTGTAATGATTAAGAAGCCAGGCTGGGATAGAAGCTTGGTGGGTAGAGTGTCCAGCATGGGAGAGGGTTTTGAGCTCCAACACTATGGAAATAAAGCAAAATGAAAAGGAGGATAATAATCTGCACTTAGGAGCCTGTGGGGGAAGCAAATGCCTTCTACCCTGCTGGTAGGATCTAAAGTGGTACAGCCCCCGTGGAGGATGTATTTTTGTAGTATCTGTCAAATTGCTAATTCACACAGCTATTTTTTTTTTAAAAAATAAGTGAATATCTGATCTGCTGCATGGGCTCAGGATGTCTTGGAGGAAACCTAAGGTACCCCATGACATAGGTGGCCCACAGGCAGGCACAGACATAAAGACCCTCTCTTCCAGGGTCTCCCTTGACTAACAGGAAATAGAAAAATGGAGATGAAGGAACTTGGTGAACAGCCACTTATGCAGCGTGCATGGTGGCACTGTTTAACAAGGAAATCACCAGATGGCCTGGATGTGCACAGAGAAACATATATACAGAAGGACAACCCCATCACTCTGCCTCTGGAGAGCTGGGATTAAAGGTGTGTGCTA